TGCCGGATATAGTTTATCGTTATACCATGGACGTATCAAAGCTGGTTCAACCAATTAATGTAATTCGTCAGAACAATTGGCAATGAAATAGTCCTAGAATTGCAAGAAGCTTGCGATGTTTCATCTGTGGGGGAGGGGTAGTAGGGTGGAGATAATCCACACCCACAAAGCCGTGTAGACAGTAACATATAATCAGTACCTGTCTATACAAATATCTGCTTAACCGTTTTTTTTAATGTCCAAATATGTTATGCATTTGATTATAAAGATTCACTCCTTCAAATATGTCTATGTTTGGATGATGAGTATGACTCAAGAAACGCCAGGCAGTAGGTCAAGGATATTTAAATACAATTAAACATTGTATTCCAAATAAGGATGTGAGTGTTTGCAAGTGGAGAGTAAACTCGTCAAGTCGTTTCAATAGCGCTTTAGAACAAAAATGACAGTTTGGGGGCAAAGTAAGATGTCGGGTGAATAGGCAATTAGCCTCATATCCAGATTGGAAAAGAAATCATATTTTTCTGAGCCAGCATAGCAATAGGCCAATTCATTTCATTAACGCAATTGAGCAAAAGCGATCTTTTCCTGGGGAAGGAATTCGACGAAGAAAGAACTGGTTGCAACATGCGAACTCAAATTACACACATATCCTATATATAAAAGAAGCAATCCTTCTTTTATATATATTTCATTAAGGGCGACAGACAAGGTACAGCGATTAAAATTTTATTTAATTTCTCTTGTGTTCCAACAAGTGTTTTCTTTTCTGGACACAGAGTGTATAGAAACTGTCCAAATGTTCTATAATTCCGAGCGCTTTCGGCGATCCTTCTAGCCATTATCGAGGATGATTTAATTTTTAATTTATAACTGGATGTATGGGCTGTGTGTATGTATATAGGATTATAGGGATGTTTTATTTTCCGAACACAGTCAGCACATTATGTCCGTGTTCGTAGTTAATATTATTGAGTGCTGACTTTTTTCTTTTGTATTATTAAGGCTTCCATTATTTTTAATCCTTTTTTTTACATGTAGATGAGGTTATTATGTTTGTATTTTCTACTAGTATGTTTCGGATGGAGTCGTGTAGGCCTGTATGTGTGTTTAAATGGGTTCTGATGGCGCTGTGGTCGGATCGGTGTAATGTAAATTGTCTGGATAGTCTTGTAGTAGTGTGACTGATGTAATTATTTATGAATTCGGTTTGATCAGGAACACAGTTCCTTAAGGGGCATTTGAACTCATAGATAATATTTGTTCTTTGGAGTTTTGATTTTACAGGTGTGTTGTCATCTTATAGATTGAGTTGGATCTTTTTTAATTCTTCTCTTTAATTTAAAATGATGATCCCTTTTCCTGTTGTGACCTTCTAATCCAGTTTTCCTCTCTACTGTCCCCTTTTTTTAAAACTTATTCACCGTTCTCCATATGTTTCTTGAATGGATTTGAAGATTGAAACCATAGTATGAATATTGATAGCATTATTGATGGCCTGAATGATCTTTTTCCTCTCACCATTGCTCAGTTGGGAAGATAGTGCTCTCTTTTTAGCTGAATAACTCAAAGGGTTTTCAGTGATTCTATTTCTAAAGGAAACTATTTGTTTATTGTTTTTTTAGATATTAAACATTTTGTGAGATGAGTAATTATTTTGTTACACGATTTGGACAATTTTTCTGTTACAGCTGGTATATATATATATATATATATATATATATATATATATATATATATATATGATAAACATAGATTTTATGGTGTGCTATATTTATAGGTAAAAGTGCTCCATATCAGGATAGAGCTTATGTAAATATAAATATAAACTGAGATCAACTCTGAGCGGCGGTATTCTGTTTCATGTTTAACGCAGTCTTCAGGGCATGTGTGTTATGTTTTGGCTCGACTATTTATATATGCTGGTTAATGGTGCATTATAGGTAGCAATGTCTATTATATTATTATCACAGTTATTGGGCAGGCAGTAATAATTATATTTAAACTTATTCTAGAGGCTATTGAACAGAAATAATTGTGGATCCAAATGCCATTATTTTTGATATTGTATTGTTTTTTTAAACTTTTTTCCTTATTTGTTGTTGATTATTATTATTACGTTTACCTGTGTTTGTTTGAGCATTCGTACTTTGTTAATTTGTTTATTATTTACTTCATTTGTCTATTTATTTATATTTTGGGGTTATTTTAATGCTGATATATATATATATATATATATATATATATATATATATATATATATATATATATAGTATATATATAATAATTCACTTGTGTGTAAAGCACTTGCGATACCCTGCCCACGTCCCTCACCATCCAGGGGAGGTAATACATTGTCGGTGACTAGGGCGGTACTGTCACCCTCTAGCGCCACCTGCAGCGTTTGCCGCCGGACTGGTTTTGTTTTATATACGTGTCATCTCTTGTGATTTCTTTTTACAATTCCCACCTTGTTGAAGTACTCAACGCACTCAAAGCGACCGTTAATGTAAAATGGAAGGTAAAAAGATGTGTTTGACTTTGGAACTACCATTGTGTTGCGGGCATAATTTTATTTAACTTTATTTTGGATCTTGTCCAGATTCAACTTGATGACCGTTGAGCTGTGGTATGGATACGATATAAAGCACGCTTCAGGCACAGGCGAGTGATGCCCACCTTCAAAAGGAAGGAAACGATTAACCGTCTAAAGAATCCACGGCACCCGACCCCAAGAGATAGCACATGACATATTCATTCCTTTTCCACACAGTTAGATTGCAGCGATTCGTAGCAGTTTTATTTCACGCCTCCTCTCTTTCTCCTCCCATGGAACGTTTCTAGGACACACTTCTTTGAATCAGACCACGCTACAATGTCAGAGTGTGCGTCTGTCTGAATTACGTGTATTGAAAATTGCAGAGGTCTTATAAGATTAGCTAACACCCTCCAATCACAGTCTCCACTCAATCGTGTCATATTGGGAGTTATTTGGGTCTTCCGCACAGGGCGTTCACCTTCCTTGTAAAAACGGATCTTAGGTTCTCTGGTCGTTACAGGCTGTTTGTTCGCTGTCTCGCATTGTGTATTAAGTACATGATCACTTCCAGCACTTTCTTATGACGCCACATGTACATCAGCAGTGATTGTGGGCATGGAGGTGACGTCACTTTGACATAATGCGCATACATCAGTGTCAGTGTACCCTCACAGCTTGAGGTTGGTTGCATTTGGTAGGAGATCATTGGTAGATCACAGGAGGAATGATATTACCAATAGTTCCATTGCAATCAGGGTATTCCTTGATAGCTTCATCGGATCAATATCACTCAATGCTCTCCAAGTACATTGTTTGGACTGAGGAACACCAGTAATGTGTTCGTTGCTCGTACTCAAAATTCTTGTCTCGTTTACTCTTTGGACCCTGTTTGGAGAAAAAACTGATTACTCTTGCTGTATAGGTCAGCTCGATTGGTTTGGGTCACCCCCATAATCTCCTTGGTTCACAAGCTGGATTCTGCTTTTTAGGTGGTTTCTACTGCCGACCATTTTGTTCCAGTTTTGATATCTGGCCGTAACCTTCGGATGAACTCATCATGTAAAGGTGTACCTTCTTGACCTTGAAATCCTCCACCAATGAGGAGATAGTAAGTTGCAGATTTCCAACATTGGTATAGAATCCCACCGTGGAGAACCAGGAGGAAATTCAAATCACTGACGCAGGACCAGAATAGTGATGCCATCTATGAACGCTCTAGAAGGTGGAAAGACTATTTCTTCCTTAGTCATCACTCCATTTGCTGTGTCAACTACACCCCGGAATATGAGTTCCATAGACATAAGGAAAAGAGGTAGCGAAATCACACACCCTATCATGATGCCGACCTCGAGGGCTTGCCTCTTGATGGTGTACTTACCAACTGTGAACTGCATAAACGCTGCTGTGAAATATTTCCTCGTCATTTCCCAAACCTTGCTAGGGAAATTGAAAAATTCAAGGGGCATTCGAATTAACTCATGAGGCACTGATTCACATGCATTTGCGAGATAATGCTAAATGACATGAAGCTCAGTTTTATTTTGTTTCGCTGATAAAATTGAGTTCCAAATTATGTGTGAATGCCCTAGACAGCCGGTGAAGCCAGATATCCCAGCCTTTTGTACAGTTGTGTTTATGTAATGATTACCTAGCAAGAAGTCCGTCATACAACGAACAAGGATCCCCTCAAAGTTTTTCCTCTCTATTTAAGTGGGAGATGGGGCGAAGATTTTCAAATGCCATCCACTAGGCACCATTCTTGTGGAATAATATCTTGTTACCATGACCGCTGCAGGATGATGGTGAGTTGCTTGAGAACGTTGGGACAATTCTTATATAACTTGTAGGATACTCCATTTATTCCAGGTGCACTTCTGGCACGGGATTTTCGGACGAATTCCCAAATTTCCCTCGGCTTTAGTCCGCTCTAATTAAACATGACCTCTGGATACTGAGGCCTAGAAAGGTCATTCATAGGAGGGATTGGAACATCTTTCTAAGCATCAGAATATGTCACCCGCAGCTGGTTCCTTCTGCGGTACGACAAGTTTTGCCGCTCTTAGTCTCAGTGAACAGCTTTTTAGCAAAAGCGTAAGGATTATTGTAAAATGATCACCGGGTCTGTCGTTTTTAATTCCGATGTTTTCTTTGGTTCTCAGCTCTAGAGATCACTAAGTTCCGTTCTTTAATATCCTTAAGCAGGTCATTAAGGCCTGCTCTATTATGTATTGGCGATTATTTGAGTCGGCTTCTCAAAACTTTCTCCTCTGTTCTTAGTTTACCCTTCTCAATCTGTTGTTTATTTGGTCGCTTCTCTTCTTTACTACCCCCCTCTCGCAGTTGCCACACCAAATCACTCAAGACAAACCTCTTGCACAACTCTGCAGAAAGATCTGATGGTTAATGAGGCACTTTAGATGGTTGCTAAGTATTAGTTCTTGATCGAGATTCCACCAAGTAGATCTATCTATCTATCTATCTATCTATCTATCTATCTATCTATCTATCTATCTATCTATCTATCTATTCTAATAAATATACATTTTGTTTATATATATATATATATATATATATATAGTTGTAGTTGTATATTATTTTCTCCATCTCTCTCTCTTATCGAATCGTGAAAATTGTTCGAAAAACATTTATTTGAATTGTAAATTGTTTGAATAAAAATTAATCGAAAGGACAATTACACTAAATGAGAATTATTCGAAATACCTAGATTTGAAATACGTATGTGATTTTACTTTGAGAAAGTCAATATTGATTTACCTAGAACTAATAACACCCTTAAAGGATGACATAGGGTGTTATCCCATCATCCCACATTATGGAAATTCTTAGACACCCTTAAATGAGAACAGCACTTGAAAGAAATTCATATTGCAAAAGGTAAGAGAAAATTACTAAAATATAAAGAGTACCAAGAAATACCAAGGCGTAAATAGAAAACTTAAAAAAAAATTAGTGACATACTTTAACAAGTACTCTTCAGTAGTTGACTATTTGCTTGCAGTATCATATAACTTAAGGTTATAAAGATTTTTCTTACGAAATTGGTTTAATAACGATATTTCGAATAATTATCATTTGTGTATTTCCTCTTTTAATTTTGACTTTTTATTGCAATAAAGAATTTTGCATTTCGAATAATTATCATTTAGTCTAATTGTCCTTTTGATTAATTTTTATTCAAACAATTTACAATTAGAATAAATATTTTTCGAACAATGTTCACATAATCTTCTCTTACAGACATCAATTTTGTCTGTTATTTTATTACTAGGACCAACTGTACGATACATTACATATATATATATATATATATATATATATATATATATATATATATATATATATATATATATATATGTATGTATGTATGTAGTGTGTGTGTGTGAGTGTGTATGTATGTGTGTATGAATTGGAATCAAATACACATCAAATATTGATCAAAAATGAATCTGACAGAATGACAGGAAATGTTTATCAATCTAAAATGTTTCGCTTTTATTAAAGAATAAGAGAATCAGATACGGATAAAAATTTCTGCTATTTTATTTTTGTGTTGTTTTGATTTTCATTGGTTAAGCAGGATTCACGAACATTTGACTCAAGCAGCGTTCCTGTTTAAATGTATCATAATTCTTGTTTGTCTATGCGGAATTCAAATGAGTGTGTGTATGTGTGTGTCTGGTAGGCATTATTTATGATTTTAAGCGCAGTACTAGAATTGTCTTATCCATTCATAGTTGAATTGGCTAGATTTAATGGTAAGTTCTATGCTAACAGTTTATTTTCTCGAACTTCTCTCTCGTGTTTCCAGTTAACTTTGATTTTCAAAAATTTAAATGCAATGCCAATCGTTATATATTGTCTTCTTGATTACTCTTCTATTGTTTTCACTCTTAAATAATTTTTTTCTTATTCTTTTCTACTCAGAAAATGCTGCTGTCTTAGTTGTTTTACTGCCTTGTATGAGGTGATATATATATATATATATATATCGAGAGAGAGGGAGAAAGAAAAAAGAAAGTAAATAAATGAATAAGAATTTTACGACTTGTGTGGCAGAAATTTTGTCTGAAGAGCAGTCCTCATGGTAGAGATTTTAAATGCGATCACCGACATACTGCGCCGTAATTATTTCAAGTGTCAAGAATTAAATAAGTGACATGTACATTTCTGTTTATGATCTTTTTCACATCTTTATTGCTTTTGAAATATAAATAACAAGAAAATATTAAGAAAATATCGAGAGAAATTTTGTACAAGTATATATATATATATATATATATATATATATATGTGTGTGTGTGTGTGTGTGTGTGTGTAGAGAGAAAGAGAGAGAGAGAGAGAGGGTAACAATTCTGATATAAATAAAAATATATCTGTTAAAAGAAAATATGAATAAAGACAAAAGAATACCAATCTTATTAATAGGGGAATGAACTTATTCAGATGGAAAGTTCTTGAGAGTGCCGCTCGTATTTTGCCAAAACAAATCTGGGCACCAGATTTGTTGTGAAATATCTCCTTTTCTAAACGATATACTCTTTTCCCAAGACAGAATACATGAGAATAAAACTAAAATAACCCAAAACCGGTTAAATTTAACAGTTAAACATTAAATTATTCAAAATAAATATATATACATAAATTTATCAAATTAAAATAACAAATAATAATTATATTAATAAATTCAAGAACAACAACAATAACCTTTAGTCACTTTCGTGTATTAGGTATTGAATTATATCACTTAGTTTCCTCCATAGTTTTCCGTGGCTTTCATAATTAGCCTGGAGAATACTTATGAGCATTCGTAAATTTAAAAATTTAAAAAACCTAACGATACGTTTTTTTTCCGTATCCAAATACATGTTGTAAAATAAAATTCTTACTTTTCCCTTGATAAAGTTCATCTGAGGACGAAATGAAATTAAACTGATGCTCGATGAAAATGATAAAATGAAATCCAACCTAAATCCATTATTTTAATTCTGATTTTATCTTAAATTTTATCATTTTCATCCAACATCAGTTTAATTATCAAGGAATAAATGATGTGAAAGAGTTAATTACAAATGAAGAGTATGTTGCAAGATCAGTTTCTCTCTCATATATATGTGTGTGCATGTGTGTGTGTGTGTCTGTGTGTGTGTATATATATATATATATATATATATATATATATATATATATATATATATATAAAAAAAAGGCTTAAACACGAATATTAGTGTTTAAGCCTTTTTTATTATATCCTTACATGTATATGCATAAAACCTGAGTCTCATCTACCATGTATTCAATTGTGAAAGCAGAATAACATATATTTTATTATTCTCAGCAAGAAAATTAAATCTATCATTAATATTCTGCTGAACAAACAAACAAACAAACCTCTTGCGTCTTGGTCGCTTTATTGTCTTCATTGGGGTGAAAGGATTAATAATTAAAACAAGTAATGTGGTTTTTATTATCTGGTACAGTTCTTTGCGATTGTGTAGCGCCAGTCCACAATGTTCGAGGAAAGATGGTCCTCGCTGAAGCCTACACGTTTCATTCACTCGAATAAATAAAATGTTAATTTTATCAAAAGACACACGTGTGTATTTTTATGAACGTTTCAGTCATCGCCAACTGAACAAAAATCATTTGGTATTAAAAGATGATGATAACATATAATTAGCTTCCCATTCATCTGTGTTCATTTATATCTACGTTCAGTCCGAATGGAATTTTTAGCTTTGCCTTCACGCTAGATTTATTTGGTGGAAAAAAAAATCTCTACAAATATCTCTAATATACACAAAGACACAATGACTTTTTCTTTATTTAGTGTCCATTGCTTTCATATTAATTCTTTTTTGTCGCTCAGTCTTTCATTTTTCTTTCTTTTCTTTTTGAAGGTCTTTCTTTCTTCTTTGTCTTTCTTTTTTTTTTAATCCTTTCTTTCTTTTGCACATTTTTCCTTATTTTCTCTTTCTTTTTTTGCAGCTTTCCCTAACGGTTTCTATTTCGTTCTCCTCTTTCTTTCTCTCTTTCTTTCTTTCTTTCTTTGCTCGTCTTCTTTGTTTTTTTGCTCGTCTTCTTTCTTTCTTTGCTCTTCTTTTTTTTTGCTCGTCTTCTTTCTTTTTTTCTTTCTTTCTTTTTTCTTTCTTTCTTTTATTCTTTCTTTCTTTTGCTCGTCTTCCTTTTTCTTTCTGATATTTGTCTTTTCTTCTTCTTTCTTTTGCATATCACCATTCTTTTTTACTTCTACTTTTTTTTTTCTCGTTTCTTTTTTCATGTTTTATGCTTAAACTTTCTTATTTTTAGAATTATTTTTTCATTATTCATTTAGTCTCTCATTTTTTTCCCTTTTTTTGTACGTTTAATTCTTGAACCTTTTTCCTCTTTTTTTCTTTCTTTCTTTCTTTCAGTCGAACACAGGCTCAATTAGAACTGAACCTAGTAACATGCTGCCAACAGAATATTTAATAATATCCACATGAAAAGGCTCCATTAAACAACACCTTTTCTTTTCCATTTTTAAGATAAAAAAAAGTTTCGCATTTCTTTATTTTGAGTTTCCTTTGCTCTTTCATATTTTCTGTCTCCTTTCAAACTATTTTTACTTGTTTAATTATCGACTCGAATAAGGTTCGCGCCAAACTTTGTTGTCTTCAAAGGAATTCGGCTTATTGCACATGACGAAGTCTTTGTGTGAAGTAGGAATAGTATTGGACAGCGAGATATTGTCAAGGTGATTGCACTAAGTAAGTAGTTGTGGGAGAAAGGGAAGAGAAAGAAATAACGAAAGTATGTCAAGTCATCTGATTTTCTAAAAGAGAATGAAACCAGGTACATGAAGGGGACGCTAAAACGTACAACCTAGGAAAAAAGAAAAATTATCTTCGTTGACGCGTTTCGTCCTCTAAGGGACTTTGTGTATACATATTAAGACATTTTATTCTTTTTATAAATACAAATATTTAAGTAAATGCTCTGTTTATAATAAACAGTATTAAAAAAAAAAACGTTTACCGGCCTGAATGTCCCAGAAATTATCATAAAAAATATTCGTCCACCGACAGAATCCAAACCTGTATCCTACACGAAACAGTCATATAGCCTGATGTGTCTTTTAACCGATTCAACCACAGAGGATCGCTCGGTTAGTAAGGTCGAATTTAATGCTTTTAAACTTCAATCATCCATGAATCTTTCATGTATATACATATATATATATATATATATATATATATATATATATATATATATATATATATATATATATATACCTTATTATGACTGTGTATATATGTTTCGTCCTCTAAAGGAATTATATATATATATATATATATATATATATATATATATATGTGTGTGTGTTATCGTCATATATATATATATATATATATATATATATATATATATATATATATATATATATGTATATATATATGTATATATATATATATAAATAAACATAAATACATACATATTATTATCACTATATATATATATATATAAATATATATATATATATATATGTATGTATGTATGTATGTGTATATATGTTACATACATTAGGAATTAAGATTACTTCATGCTAATTCAAAAATATTACTACCTATTTTGTAAGGTAAATTCTGTGCTGTGCTTACAATTAACAGAAAGTTGAAAAACTTTTGAATGACAATCCAAGGTTAATGTAGGTTTATGTTGTTATTATTTGCTAGTCTTGCTATCTATTTATCTTCATGTACCTATATATATATATATATATATATATATATATATATATATATATATATGTGTGTGTGTGTGTGTGTGTGTATCTTGTGTGTGTGTATTTATGTAAGTATACATGTATGTATATATATGCTTATGTGTAATTTTGTATGTAAATTTGCATAAATTTATGTATGGCTTTATATATTTATAGGTTGATATATTTGTTTTATATCTATCTATCTATGTTTTTTATATATGTATGCATATATATATATATATATATATATATATATATATATATATATATATATATATATATATATATATATATATATATATATATATATATATATATATATGTGTGTGTGTGTGTGTGTGAGCTTATATTTACCTATATACTTATGTAGTTGTGTCCGTGTATGTATTCAAGAGTACTGTATTGTAATTTGTTCGAACATAGGAATTTTGGTATAGGTTTTTTATATACGTATGCATAAATGCTTGGTCTATTTATTTGTATGTATGCTTATTATTGTCTTTTTTTCCTTGATTTATTCATAGCTGAATATATGTTTTTCACTTATAATTTCTTTAACTTTTTTCAATTAAATCCTTTTTCTATTTATATATCTTTGCACATCAATGTAAAATTGTTGATAGTTGGTTTATTCCCGCTTATTAATATTTTTCAGCTGAAATCTTAGTGGGTCTGTTTATTTGTATATAAATATGTGTGTGTGTGATTGCTTGTATATGCTTGTATATGTTTTCAATGTATATGTCGATGTGTCTGTTATTATTTTTTTGTCTGACGTGCGATTATTTATTTCCTGTGTTGTCCGTGTTTTTGCGTGTTTATATATATTTAAATATATTTACGTATCGGTGTATTAGGATATGATTGTGTCTGTCTTGTCAGTTGTAAGACCTTCTCTCTTCTGTCCACCATATGTATTCTAATACTTTTAGGTTGGTAACGAGGTTTGAAACCCTTTATATTAACGTCGACTTTAACTAACAATTGGGCTTTTCGATGAAAACAATAAATAAATATAAAAAATATTCATACTCTATTCCGTTCCTTCCTTGAATAATTATATAATATTATAAACTTAATACAGCGTGAATTTAAAATTTAAATTTGTAATTTTTATTTTTTATTGTGAAATTATAAATTAGTTATAATGATTTCTAATTTAGTGTAACACATAAGGCATTAATTACTTATAGCTAGTGTCCGTTGTCAAGTTTTTTGAATTATCATATACTTGTATTTTGATTGGATATATATATATATGTGTGTGTGTGTGTGCATACGATGTTGCTTTTGAACAAAAAACTCCTTTCCTAAGGGTTTAAATGTCAATTTCAACTTGGAACTTCGCATCTGTCTGGGTGAAAAAAGAAGGAACTCGCTACTCAAATACGTGTCCTCAGTAAGTAAAACTTTTATAGAAATTAAAATTCTCTTCAGCATTTTTCATTCGAATCATTTGCCCAAATGCCTTCTTTCTAAGAGATGAAGAGATTTGAACACATAACAAAAAATGATTCCATTTTCCGCCTCTTAATTAAAAATGAACATGTTGAATTCGATACAAACATCTTTGAAAAACTTAAGTCATGGACAGATGAAATAAACAACCTGGATAAAATAAATCAATTCACTTAATTTTTTTAACAATATTCACCAATGTACAGTCATAAGTAGTGGCTGTAGTCATTCAGGACTCTAATGCAAATTGTTGTTTTCACAGTACGAGAATTTGTACTATGTCACCATCCAGAACCTGGTGTACGTGTCGGAATTTTCAGTTGAAAAAAAAACATCGAAGCACTATTCACCAATGTACAGTCATTAAGTTAAAATGTTGAAAACATATATATAATATTTTTTTAACAATATATATGTACATAAGTATATATATATATATATATATATATATATATATATATATATATATATATATATATATATATATATATATATATATATATTCAAACAGCTTTCTTTTATAAGAACTGGCATGCTCTGTTTGTTTCATCACAAACTTGTTAAACATACTTAGAATATATGATTTTAAAATTAACTTAAAAACTTCAGGAAGCATTCGTTATTTTATGTGCAACATTCTTAATGAATTTACGCTAAATATGAACATTTTATCATTTGTAACTTAGATTATTCAGGGGCGATAACCCTTAACACGAAGCTTTATAATAAGGGACATAACTCTTGGAAACATATCAGATTTTAACTATAGCAAATCCTAGTTATTTCCCTTTGATCATCATTATTTAATCGTATAGTAATGCGATATTGTTTTTCACTTTTATGAGGCATTCATGTAGAAAATTTAACAGATTGTTGAATTAAAAGTCTCAGAAAATCTATGAATTTCAGAATCATAGAAATAAACAAAGCTAATAAATAATAATTATTAAGTAAAGCTTCTTCTATTACGATGAGTCGTGAATAATTTTCTGCTTTTTTATCATCTTTATTCTTCAAAAAATAAAGTACATTTGCATTTATTCAGTTATATATTCACTATTATTTGCAAAGAGTTGCTTCCACTTATCAAGCAAGACGATTCGATACATTTGCAGCAAAATTCCAAAATATATTAAGAACTGTTTGACGAAATCATGAATCTAGTTTTTATTAGAAAAACATCAATTTTTCTTTATCAATTTTATCCTTCTTTTTTATTCAATTATTTAATCACCATTATTTGCATTGATCTCTTGCCAATTATCGGGTGGCTCTTCGATACGTTTTCAGTAAATTTTCGTAGACATTTGTCGGAGTTAGCTCCTTCTTAATTCCCATATTGTCACTAGGGGTCATTCTCCCTATACTATAAATACTGGGCGACCTCTTGCTTCGTCCTCTTTTTTGTTTCAGGCCTCGTGCCAGACCCCACATCGCGTGGAGGTGAGGTAAATCATCTTCTTCTTTCTTCATTTCAGCGAACACCGCTACTATGTGAGCTCTCAAAAGACAGCGTTTCCCATTTCTGGGAAGACGCATTATGAACACGTACGTACGAACATTCACCAAAGAACAAAAAGCACAAAAGTTCACACAAAACACAATGTTAACTGTCTATGTCCATTGTAAAAATGTTTTGTTTAATACATATATTTGTTTATATATATATATATATATATATATATATATATATATATATATATATATATATATATATTCATATTAAAACAACATAATCGCATTTTAAAGATTTTTGTTTTGTTTTTCCAGATATTTTCTTCATTCTGTCGGATTTATATACATTTATATTTGCTTATCATACTGTCCACTGGAAATGCAAACCTGAATTCATTTTATTACATGGAGGACTGCATGCTTATCCGAAGATACAGGAATCTACTAGTCTCCGCGTATTCCTACAAGAACAGAAAAGATTTTCTAACGAACTGTATATATGAAAAATCTTTCCATCGGAATCAAATTTATAAAAAAT